CACCCCCACCCCAGCAAGTACATGGGGTAAAGAGTCCATGACTACTGGTATAGTTTGGTGCAGTACCTTCATTTGTACTAAAGGGTGAGCAGTTTTTCCTGTCAGTACCCTTGTACCATCAGTGCAGATGTTAACACAGTGGAAAAGGCCTTAGTATTATTATGAAAATAGTTTTGACCTTATGGCCCCCTGAAAAGATGTTGGAGATCCCTGTGGGGTCTGCACACCACACCTTGAGAACAGCTGATTTAAAGAACTCCTACAAATTTTTTTTCTCCTTGAGAAAAAGGTATGATCCAATATAAAAATAGGCAGAGAACAAGTATGAACAGGTATAAACAAGGAAGTCACAGAAGAGGAAACCCAAATGCCTCTTGTAACAAAATCCCAATAACAAAAAAATGCTCAATTTCCCTAGCAGTCAGGGAAATGTAATTTAAAATAAGACACTATTCCGTACCTGTCAGGCTGGCAGAAATATACAAGTCTGACACAGCCATGATAGGAGCTTTCCTACGCTTGCTAGTGAGAGTGTAAATTGCTACAACCACCTCGGAAAACAAAATCTTTCAGAAATTGGAGATGTGCATCACCCAGAAATTCCTCTTCTAGATATATACTCTAAGGAGCCCTGGTGGCGCAATGGTTAAGCACTCAACTGCTAACCAAAAGGTTAGCGGTTCAAAACCGAGTTGCTCTGCGGGAGAAAGACCTGGCAGTCTGCTCCCATAAAGATTACAGCCAAGCAAACTCTATGGGACAGTTTCACTCTGTCACATGGGTTCACGATGAGTTGAAATCGACTGGATGGCACACAACAACAACAGATATACACTGTAGAGAAATTCTTGTATCTGTGTCCAAGAAGACTTATGCAAGAATGCTTGTTGCAACGTTGTTTACGATACAGAAACATAAAAAACTAAGTGTTTATCAACAGATGAATGAATAAATAAACTGATACATTCATTGAGAAAAATGCAGTTAAAATTAATGAGCTAGAGCTTCAGGTATCAACATACATAAACCTCAAAAACACAATGTTAAGTGGGGGAAAAAAAGCTAAGTTGCAGAATGATATATAAATTGTGACACCATTTCTGTAATTTTTGAAAACATGCCAAAGCAGCACTGTTTATTGCTTATTGTAGTGAATGCATAAGAACATGCATGGATTTGCATATTCCAACCTCAAGATAGTCGTTTCCTTTGGGGAAGTGTGCACAGAGCGTTAACTGTATCTGTAGTGCTTTAGTTAAACAGATAGAACTTATGCAACTACGGGTAAGTATTGGAATTTGCTGCAACTGGAGCTGGTACTTAGGTGTATATGATGCTCTTCCTGTTTGTTTTTGTGTGCATGTAGTAAACATTTCTTTTTTAAAAAGGCATGCATCATCTCTGAGTGGTGAGAGCAGGGTAATTTTCTTTTTTTTGGACAGCAAACATGTATGTTATTTTTTCATTAAAAAAGCATTATTTTTAAAAGCAAGTAAGAGAATTCTCCAGTGGTAGAGGGTGGCCAGTGTGAAAGCAGGCAGAACTTAGAGGAATTTTTAGCAGTAGTCCAAGAGAGAGATGAGCAGCAGAGGTCATTAGAGGTGTGGAATTTCAAGACAAAGCTTATTAAGTTCCACTTCCAGTTAGGATGCAGAGAGTTTCCAAACACCATTACTCTCACTCTTAATAACCAATGCATGCTAGGTCAGCTACAAAGTCACAGTTTTTCTGAACACATCAGAGAGTTGTGGATGCAAAGAAGCCTAAGTGAACTAAACTTTAGAAAATAGTGAGCCCTTCAGAGGAGAGAAGAAACCCATAGTCGCTCTCATCCCTGGCAGAGCAGTAAAAGGAGGAAGACTTTGCCCTTTTAATGACTCTGTGGGCTAGCATGACAGATTAGAATTCTGAGATGCCCCAGCTACAACGCAAGTCTGAACCCTCCCTCATGTGCTTCCCCAAAGATCTTCACAAGTGCTCAAGGACAGTACACCAAAGCTGAGAGGCAGGGCAGGAGAGCTGAGAGAGATCTCTCTCCCAAGGCATGTGGAGTCTCCCCCAAATCCAAGTCCCTCTGAAGGTTGGGAAAAGGGGTGTAGATGTAGAGCAGGATTGCTGAGAGAAATCAGTCTGAGGCACTCTAGACTTTCAGTTGCCAAGACCTGGGAGTGAAACAGGAGAACTGAGAATTATGGTCACACATAAAGACTTTAGAATGGCATTCCCTACAGAGCTGTGAATGGGCTAAACACTCAGGGGATGGCAATAAAAAGAAGCATTTCATTTTGATTTTCAGATCTAATGGTCTTCAAAACAAACCTTGACAAAAAGACACACTGCACAAACCGTGGTGATCAATCATTCAGGGATTGTCTGGCCATAGACAAAGCGTTTAGAAAGTTGATTATTCTACTCAATACTTGGCCTAGACAAGGTAATTTAAAATGTACTGATTAAATTTGCAGTTGACAGCGAAATTAGTTAGGATGGTTAATATTCTGGAAAACCAAAATCAAATTCAGAATGATCTTGACCACTAAAAAATTGCCTTTAAAGTAGAGTAAAATGAAAGATGAATTTAGATATTATGCTTAGAGACAAAAGAACAATAAAAAAAATATGTGAGAAAAGGAATTAACTAGGTTGAAATATTACCTCTGGCATTTCTCATTCAGTAGCTAAAACTTTGGAAATACAGAAATGACTTAGACACTCACAGTTTAATAGTGAGGGAATTTCTCTCCTCCCACCTATCCCAACCCTGGTTTATATCCTAGTGGTTCCATCTGTGTTGACCTTATATCCACAGTGCTTACGCCTACAATTTACTCATTTAATTGGTAGGACAGTATCTGCTTGTGCTGTCTTATCTTCCCCCAAAATAGCCTTTTGTTACTGTACCGTATGGAGCCCTGGTGGCAGTGGTTAAAGTGCTTGGCTGCTAACTGAAAGGTCAGTGTTCAAATCCACCAGCTGCTCTGCGGGAGAAAGATGTGGCTGTCTGCTTCCATAAAGATTTACAGCTTTGGAAACCCTATAGGGCAGTTCTAGTCTGTCCTACAGGGTCGCTATGAGTCGCAGTCGACTCAATGGAAGTGGATTTGGTTTGGTTTATTACTGCACCGATTCTCTCTCTTGTTTAATCCAACTTCCAGTTCCTGATTTCCAGTTATTGCTAATAATGATGGTAAAAAAAGATTCCGCAGGATCATAATTGAACACAAGCTGAATTGTTGTTAGGTACCGCCGAGTTGATTCCAACTCATAGCGACCCTACATACAACAGAAGGAAACACTGCTTGGTCCTGCGTCATTCTCAAACAATTGTTGTTATGTTTGAGCCCTTTGTTGCAGCCACTGTGTCAGTCCATCTTGTTCATGGTCTTCCTCTTTTTTGCTGACCCTCCCCTTTACCAAGCATGATGTCCTTCTCCAGGGACTGGTCCCTCCTGATAACATGTCCAGAGTATGTAAGATGAAGTGTCGCCAACCTCCCTTCTAAGGAACATTCTGCCTGTACTTCTTCCAAGACAAACTGAATAAGAGCTGTTAAATATATTGTTATCGGGAAGAAAGAATGGGACAATAAAAAGCCAATTCCATTCTGTTAAGAGAAATTATCATTTAAAGTCTAACATGGAATCTTATCTTTATAAGCTACATTAAAACAATCATGTAACACAGAACACTTCCTGTGTGCTAGGAATTGTTCTAAATGCTGTACATGCCGAATGCATTTTATCCTAACAGCAATACTAAGAGGTGAGGTGCTCTGGGTAATCCCTTTTACAGGTGAAGTAACTGAGTTCCCAAGAGGTTAGTCAGAAATCAGATGTGTATTGTTCTTGGTCATAGGACAGCATAGCAAGGTCCAGAACTAAGTTTTCAGCCCAGGTCTCTTGACACCATGTCCACAGCTCAGGCTGCTTTTTGGGTGATTTTCACAATCACATAAGAGAATATTGTTAAAGATTTGTACTCAATATAGTGAGATTGCTATGGACTGAAAAGGGAGGGGGATGGAATAAGGTGCACTGATTTATGAAGTGTCCTTTTTCTTTGTGCAGTATGAACCCAGAGGACCTGGTCGGCCCTTGTACCAAAGAAGAATCTCATCCAGCTCAGTACAGCCTTGTTCTGAAGAAGTAAGCGCTCCTCAAGACAGTCTTGCTCAGTGTAAAGAGCTTCAGGACCATAATCACCAATCTTCTTTCAACTTTTCATCCCCGGAGTCCTGGGTAAACACCACCTCATCTGCCCCCTACCAGAACATTCCGTGCAATGGACCCAGCAGGACAGCCCAGCCCAGAGAGTTGATAGGTAAGACAAGGTTGGTGCGTTGCCAAAACCCTGCAGTTTCAAATACTTTCCTCCTGGGTATTTATGTAGTTTTTCTTCTACCACCCTGCCCCTCCCCCAATTTATAGTATTAGTTTTGAACAATATTTAATGTACATAGCTCATAGTTGTGCCTCAGGCAAACATTTAATTCATGACTATATTGGTTTTGGAGCCGTGGTGGCACAGGGGTTAAGTGTTGGGCTGCTAACCAAAAGGTCGGCAGTTCAGATCCACCCCCGCTCCTTGGAAGCGCTATGGGACAGTTCTACTCTGTTGTATAGGGTTGCTATGAGTTGGAATCGACTCACCAGCAACAGGTTTGGTTTTGTTTTATATTGGTTGCATATTTACGGTCTGGAAGGTATTTGATCATTTTGAATTGTGACTAAATGGAAAAAGTAATGAAACTTAAAACATATAGCTAGGTAGATAGAATCACCTTTGCTTGAGAGAAGCTTTTTTTCTGTTTGTTTCTCCAGGATTGGGGTGGGAGTTGGTTAGGTTAATACTAATCAGTTTACAAAAATTCATTGTCAATAAAGTTGTTGTTAATTTGCTACATAATATTAGAGTTTGGCCATCCGAGAGACCAGCCACATCTAACGTTTTGAAATTTATAAACCTTCTGTTTTATTCCTTGTATTCTAACAAACTGAGAAGTTCCAAAGTCCATGGCTAAAGGGAAAAAAAAAGGTATAGAAAGGGATAGGAATAGACAGATGCTCTAAGCTTGTCTGTATGGTGGAAAGTCTTTCCCTTTAGCCTTGACTGTGAATGCACTCTTATCTTTCCTTTGTTCCCTCTGTTTTTCATGTTGAATGTAAAACAGCTCATTGTGTTATTTGAGTTCTTTAATGTCCTGCTCTTTGTAGGCTGCAGACATTGATCTTTGTAACCAAGTCTGTGATCTTTGTGTGGTGACTTTCTGCCCTGGTTGCATCAGCCTTTGTATTTGAAATTAATTTTGTTCATCTTTAGTATGTGAATTCATTGTTTCTGCAACTGACCTGTTTTTGAGTATATTCCTTATAAGCATATTTTTATAACAGTAGACATGGTAAGACAAAAAAACGTTAAAAATTTTTGGTCTTGTTTCCTGGCAAGAGACATTGTCATTTTAATCTTTAAATATTCATTAGTACTTACTGTGTGTAAGCTACTGTATTGTTCTTGGGGTTCCTTTGTCGTTTTAAAGGCCTAACATAAATACACTCACTGTTGTTTCAATTTCCTGAGAAACATCTAAATTACAAGCCATTTTCGCTGTGATTCCCTCTGCAGTGGTCTCAGAACTTCTTTACTACCCGTTGGAGTTCATTTGGCGCTTGACATGTGCCGCTTCCACTGCTGTTTAACCATGTTATGGGTTTGTCTGTTATCTCCACAGTGAAATCATGAGTTCATGAAGGGCCACTCTTCGCAACTTTGTGCCTAGCATGGCACTGAATATAAGTGCTCAGGAGACATTTGTTGAGTTGGATTGAGGTGGTAATTTCAGGTTTTTGGAAAGATAAACGGGCAGATTCCAGCGAAGAAAAGCAACCTGTGAGAAAGCAGGAAAATAGGGATGAGCATGATTCACCAAGGCCTGTCTAATTATGTAGATGGTCTAGTGAGAACATCTAGGATGTGTTTTATCTGAGGAGGCAGGGAAGAAAATAATGAAGGAGAATTTAGAATGGCAGACAATATAATGCATTATAGAGCCACAATAACTAAAACAGTACTAGTACAGAAATAGACACAACTCATTGGAAAGCCCAGAGACAGATTCAAATGTACAGAAGAATTTAGTATATAATAAAAGAAGGATCAGCTTGGAAAAGATAGATTAGTCAATAAATGATATTGGCTCAATTCTCTATTCGGGGGAAATAAACAAATAAACAAAGTTATATCTTTACCTTATGCTATATACTAAACAAATTGCAGATAGATCAAAGATCTTAATCGAAAGCATGAAATTATAAAAGATCTAGGAAAAAATAGAGTAAATATTTATCTGACTCCACAGAGGAAATAGCTCATAGATTTATTTACATAAAATCTAAAACATTTATTGACAAAGTAGAACTATCATAAATAAAATTAAAAGACAAATCACAAAGTAGGCAAAAACATTGCAACATATAACAGAGGATTAGTACTCTTCAAATGTAAAAAGCTCTTATAAAATAATATGAAAAAACAAGCAATAGAATAGGTTGGCTAATAGAATAATGGACAGAGGCATCCAGGTGGTCCACAAATAGGTAATAAACATAAGGGGAAAATGTCTGTAAACACCAGTAATCAAAGAAGTGCAAATTAAAACTACAAGATAATTATTCACTTTAAAAATAGGCTAAGTTAAAAAAAACAAAAACAAACAAAAATAAACCCACCAGTGTTGAGGGAAACAGGCACCCTCAAACATTGGTGGTGTGAGTATAAACAGACAGCATCTTTCTGGAGGGCAGTTTGGCCATAGTGACCAAAGTTTTAATTGTGTGTATACCCAGCCATTATACTTCTAGTAATTTATCCTAAGGAAATAGTTGTGAATATTTAGAAATATTTATTTATAATAACATCACAGTCTATAAAAGAGGAAAAATTAGCTGTAATTCAATTTTCTAAAAATGAGAGATTATTTAAATAAGTTATGAAATACTCTGCATTAAATGATGTGCATTGGAAAAAAATACACCAACAAGTTGAGGCTTATGTTTGGTATTTGGGAAGATGGATTTTCCTCTCTGGACTTTTCTGTAATTTCCAAATTATCCCCAGTAAATATGTATTATGCTTATAAGCCAATAAAATGTTGTTGAAGTTTTTAAGAGATTGAAAACGAAAGCAGTATCTGACAACAAGCTATATAATAGTGAGATTTAGTGGGCAATAAAACTGGTTGGGAGGGTGGAGTCAAATTTTAAAGACCTTTAATGTGAAGCCAATTAGAGGAAATGATGTGAAGTGGTTTACAATTGTTTTGTTTGTTTGTTTTCCTTAACCACCTTATTCCACACCAAAAAACCGAACCCACTGCTGTCAAGTCAATTCTGACTCATAGCGACCCTGTAGGGCAGAGTAGAACTGCCCCCTAGGGTTTCCAAGACTGTAAATCTTTCCGGGAATAGATTGTCACATCTTTCTCCCATGGAGCAGCTGGTGAGTTCGAACCACTGACCACTTAGCCACTGCACAACCAGGGCTCCTTATTATTCCATAGATACTTAATATATATTACAAGAAAGGGTATCATTTTTAACAAATAGAATCCAGTACTACTATTACTTAGATTAATAATAACAGCTGTTTTGACCAGAAGTCTGCGTACGTAATTAATTTTTATTTAAGAAAATTCCCATTTTCAAACTAGGATAAGTTAATATATTAACATAATATAATATGTAATATTAATATAACCAAACCCGTTGCCGTCGAGTCCATTCTGACTCATAGAGACCCTATAGGACACAGTAGAACTTCCCCATAGGGTTTCCAAGAAGCAGCTGGTAGATTTGAACTGTCGACCTTTTGATTAGCAGCCAAGCTCTTAACCACTGCGCCACCAGGGCTCCCCGTTAATATCACGGTTAATATAATATCAAATGGTTCAGTTGTACAAGTCATTTTATTTTTTAGCAAGCCTTCAAATAAAACCTTTATTTCTTATATGTTAGCTGTTCCAGTTTATATGGTTAATTATTTTGTGAGTATGTTTATACGATAGAGAAGTTTGGTTAGATGTGTGTGATTTCAACATTATGTGGTAGAAGTTGTCTGTCCTTGTGGCTGTACTGTCACTGAGTGTCCCGATATGTGAGAACCAGTGATGACCGTCTGAGTTAATAAGATGCATGAATATCACTGCCCACCTCCCCCTAAACCAGTGTCTCTCTTCTCTGCTTTTAGCTCCTCCCAAGACTGTCAAACCCCCTGAGGATCAGCTGAAGTCTGAAAACCTGGAGTTGTCCAGTTCCTTCAATTATAACGTGCTGCAGCATCTTGGCCAGTTCCCACCCCTCATGCCCAACAAGCAGATCGCGGAGTCTGCCAGCAGCAGTAGCCAGCAGAGCTCTGTGGGGAGCAAGCCCGCCATGTCTTATGCCAGCGCTCTGCGGGCCCCTCCCAAGCCCAGACCCCCACCTGAGCAGACTAAGAAGAGTAGCGACCCTCTGTCTCTGTTCCAGGAACTTAGCCTGGGCAGCGCTTCGGGCGGCAATGGCTTTTACTCCTATTTTAAATAATCACTTTTTTCCTCCAGGGAGAATGTTTTAATTTCTGTTTGTATCGATAGAATTAAGATAGTTGGACTTCACCTATAGATGCACAGTTCCCTTTGTTTTTAATATTAAATATGTTCTCACTTAATTGCTTTGCTGCTAGACTTGCAACTAATTTTTTAAAAGTATATGCCATTATTTTGCATTTTTGATGTGTCAGAATTTTGACAGCTTTTATGTAGAATAAAAAATATTTTTAAATTTGTGTATTGTTAGATACGTTTGCATCAAGCTAGCAGCTAAGAGGTTAATTGTGCAACTATAAAGAAAAAAAAGAAAAAAGTTTGTCTAAAATGTATTTAAAAAGAAAAAAAAAACTGTAAGTAGCATTTACATTTATTCAATAATATTACCATATGCTGGGTTTCTGTACCAGAAATGACCAGTTGATGTACAAATGTATGTTATTTTTGCTTAAATTCATTTAAAATTTTTTAAAATAAAGGGGCAGCATCTTAAAAATACTTTTAAGTTTTATCAACCTTTTTTTTTGTGACAGGATGCTGCATTCTAAAACTTTTATAGTTTTAGATTACGTATGATGTGCTGTTGAAATCTCCATCCACCACAGGATAGAGTGAAAGGCATTCTTTGCAGGTGTATTTAGTATGCCACTGTTTTTTGAAAAGTGAAAAAACATCGGCATACTTATTTTGTTTCTTGGACAAGCTACACTTCAAGCTTGTTTTTAATGTTAATTTGATAGTGTTTTTTTGTTTTTAAACAAATCATGAAACTGAAAAATTTTTAGGATTGTTGGTGCTTAGTAGACTTGATAACTATTTTAAAAATGAGTGAATTTAGTAAAATCCTTTTTACCCCCTTACTATGCATGTGTAAATGTTTGTAATCTGGCTTCTTCCCCCTTCTCTAGTGGTATAAAGACTTGTGCCGCTTTAAGGTTTGTTTTTTTCCCTCAGTAAAAATTTTGGTACCTTATTTGATGTTTACATTAAAATGCAACATTATACATGGAAATTCAAATATTTTGCTAACTGTTTTGTTTAAGGAACATCATTAAAGAAGAAATACAATGTTTGTCAAAGATGTATCAAAATTCATCTAGGGTAGAAAACTACCCTTGTTTTCCATGTCTTTCAGTTCTTCTAAAGTAACCCCAATGAACTTGTACAAAAAATACAAAATTTAAATAGCTATCTTAAATAGTCTACAGTCTACAAATTGTTTTGAATGAACTTTGGTAAAATCCAAAGGAAAACATTCACCCTCTTAAAACTTGTGGTCTTGTAATATTTTTGAAGCGATGCATGTCCTTATCATCTTTCCTGAACTAGCAGTACTACTTTTATACTTCCAAGAGATCTTGAAACTGTAACTTTTTTTTTTTTTTTTAAATAAGACGAGTCTGCAAATGAACCCAACCTTCCTGGCGATCCATTCAAAATTCTTTTTTTTGAAGGACGACTTTTAATAGGCCATCCTATGTTAGAAGAAGTACATTTTTATCTGGAGTTTAGTTTATGTTGGCCAGCTATAACACCCTGTAGCCCTCAGACTATTTAGGATGAGAGAGTGCCTTTTGTGAAAGGTTCATAAGCTACAGGACGAAAGAGGAGTGCCACCTTCCTTCAGCTCTGTCATTTTGCTCAAGAGTGCAGTTCATTTGTATGTGGCTTCCCATTACAGGCTGCGGGTGTCTGTGTGAGCTGACAGATGTTGACCTGTAGAGTGCAGACGTGCTAATGCTTAGTATAAATCACAGTCGGAAAACTGAGCCAGCAAATTCCACCACCACATTTTCTTTGTATGATGTCAGATCACCACATTTAGCTATGTCCAGTTTTGCTCAGCATACTTTAGTCAGAAGAGAAGAAGAAAACAATTTGCCTTATAGTTCTGTCCTTCCAACTCTTTAAGGAAACTCAAGGCATAGCCCACATGAAAATTAGGAGTGCCTGATATGAGGATGCCTATGAAAAATAATTTCCTGGGTGGTGATGATTTCTCCTCCAGAGTATACAGGACTGCAGCACAGGCTCAGTAAATGTTCAGAGGCATTTCGATAACGTGAAGACAGAACTGTAATGTCAGGACTTTCAGTGAACCCGTCATCATGAAATCATTGCCTAATTTTCTATACTTGAACCTTTAAAAAAACATCAGTTTTTAAATTATTTGTATTTAGTTAAGGGCTTCATGTGCAAACCCTTATATAAATATATCAATCATGGAAGCTTTGGTTAAAGAAGCTGTTAAGTTGTTGTGACATCCCCATTCTAAGCAGTTATTTCCAAAAAATTAAAAATAATGGTTGCTTATTAGTTCACTACTCTGCTGTAAGCGTCCAGATGTCCCTCGTGTCTTTATTATTTCTACAGCCAGCCAAGGATTTGAATGTTGTTTCCATCTGATACTCTATAGATTCTGCACTGAATGCTTATTTTAACCTCTAACAAGCTTACTTTCCTCATCATTGTTTTATGCCATCTTTCCAACCGTGCTTTAAAGAATCTGTTATTTACCCGTAGTATCTTGTAATGGTTTTGAGCAAGTCTTACTGTAAGAATCATTGCAAGTTTCCGTTGAAATGAGGCATGGCTACTGAAGACAGTTGATGATGTTTGGGTATTATTTGGGTAGTATTAGCAAGCACTCAAAAATTAGACTTATAAAACGTAACTTACTTTGTATACTATTCAACTTTAGTGCTCAGATGGAACTCCTGTATGTATATATATATTTTTTAGAAAACTTGATGATAGCCCTCTGATAATACCAAGTATTACCAAGTTCATTTTCTTCCCTAACAGATTTCTTCTAAGTGAGGTTAATTATTCACACGCTGTCTTTGTTCTTCGTATCTTTTTATCACTTTGTATCACTCTGAAGTTTCCTTTTTCTTGCCAGAAACATTGTTTATTCATTTCACTTTTTAATTTCAGTGCTACTTGAGATTTTCCTTTTTTACCTTAAAGAAATTATTTTTGGTGATAGAGTTTGTAAAGTAGAATATTTATCCTTTTTTTTTTTTTCCTGATCTGAAAATGAACTGTTGTTAAAATTTGAAGAGCCTCATTCAGTTTAACGTGGGTACTTTCTGGTGTGTTTTTAGAAGTTTTGGTTGGCATTTGGGCATATGCTTTGCCAAATTGTTATAGCAGAGCTTTGTTTTGTTTAATCAGTAGTTAATTATTGATCATTTAAACTAGTATGACCTTAATTTTCCTTTTCTCACACAGATATGCTTCCTATCCAGGTCATTTTGTATATAACAAACTGCTTTGTGTGGTTTTTCTCATCAGAGTTTCAGATTCCGTGTAAACATCAACTCGTCTTTTCAGTTGAAAGAATTGCGGAATAAGTCAAATAAGCAGAATTCCCACTATATAAGCATCACCTAATTAAACCCAGCAAGCTCAAAGACTGATTTATGAAAATAGTTTCCTTGTTTATGGAAGCATTAAAGTGACTGAGAAAGCTAACTGCATTTCCTAACTTTGGGATAATTAATACATAGTCTCTTGTTGCTCTAGTATAGTTGATTTTACGTGTTTAATATTTAATATTTTTCATGTACATGCATCTTGAGAGCAAAGCTATAAACATATGAGAATGTATCTGTAGCCGCCTTGGCCCATGGAGGGCCAGGGAGTGAAAAACAATTTCAAGGTAAATCTTCACATTTTAACTATCGTTATTAAGAAAATGAGATTCACCAATTTTAGTCATTTAAAAATAGACACCTGTTACCCTTAGCATTGTTTCATATTGGAGTTGTTTTTAAAAAGGGAATCCCGGTAAAACTATAAAATACAAGGTGAAAACTTTAAATATATTGAAAGTTACAAATCGCTGCCTTAAAATGTTATTTAGGCTAGCCATTCGGTTTTTTTTTCTTCCAGCTCCTCAAAGGTAGTAATTTGCCTTCGCTGATTTACCAGACATTATCACTTGCTAACCATCCCCTTGGACTCAAACATAGTGATGATTGTGTGGATGGCGCAGGATCAGGCGGTGTTTCATTCTGTTGCTCATAGGGTCGCTGTGAGTCAGAATCGACTCAATGGCTCCTAACAACAACAACCAGCCCCTTAACATATGCAAACCCTCAATTTCTACTACCACTCTGTATAGTCTTCCTGCATCTCGAAGTAAATGTTCTAATGGATCTGATTTTTCTTTCCCCTCTTTGCCATCAGAAATTAGAAAATGCATAGCATTGTAACTATGATTTCTTGTTCAAAATATCACTTAGCAGTGCCCATCACATATTATAAAGGTATCATCAAGAAGGAGTAGGTGGATGATAGTCTTCAAAGTGATCATTATGATGGACTCCTCACATTTCCCATCTACTTGAGATTGGGTATTTATTTGCTGAGATTTTACTGTAAAGCTGCTAAATTCACACTTAATCCTTTCATACCTGTTTAATTAGCAATTTTGAGACCAGTGTTACAAGGAGTAACTCTGATGTTTAACATTCTTATTAAAACACATTTGGGAAATGGTGTTATTACTTTAAACTAGAATATGAGATTAAACAGATTAAATATAAAAAATAATTCTAATATAACCTTTAAATTCTTTGAGCTGATTGAAAATATCTGCTTTGGAGTGAACTTTAAGCAAGAAGAGTCACTCATGTGAGTTTCTACAGCTTTTTTGAAGTGAAGTACCTAACAGAATAATCTAGACTTAGAAATGTGAACTGTGCTTAGATCCTAAACCCACTTAGACAGTGCTAGTCTGAAGCTTCTGAAACGGGGGTGTTATGAAGTTCCAGAGGCATTCGTATAGTTTTGGTAATCAGAGAGTTAGATCAGACTTTATTTGCAATTTGTTCAATAGAAATTTTATTTTGATACAAATATTAAGCATAAAACATAGTATGTTTTATATAATTCTATGAGTTCATTAAACAATATTATGGAATTTTCATTATGTTCTTGGGGAGTCTTTTTAGACATTTTTTGCACCTCATGTATGAGGTCTCTTCTGTATTTTATTTTATATACTAGCATGTGACTGCCTGCCTTAGAACTCTGTATAGGAGGGGAAATCAATATTACCTTTAAAAAATATCTGATTTTATAAAATAATTTTTTTCATGAAGACTTTTAATATTTGAGAAGTAAAGGCAGAGGGGTGGCAGATTACATAGGTTTCAAATAGTGTAGCCAGTCACACAGTAGGGAATGAAGGTCAAGTTATCTATTTACAAATCTGTCCTGTTTTAAGGTTTTAGAATTGGGACCAGTATAGAGCAGTGGTTCTCAACCTTGAGCGAGCATCGGAATTACCACACAGTCTTGTTAAAATACAGACTGCTGCCCCCCACCTTCGGAGTTTCTCATTCTAGAGCCTGAGAATTTGCATATCGAACTAGTTCTCAGGCGATGCTGATGCTGCTTGGTCCAGGAGCCACGCTTTGAGAGCCACTGGTGGAGAGAACGTCTGAAGGTCTTTTCAACCATCCGTATTTCCATAATTGTGATGCCGTGAGTGGCACATTCATGCCACCCCCACCTCCCTCTTGTTTAGGGCCTCTGCCACCCCTCCACATGAGGGTGCAGGAGCGCTTTCATCTCTAGGGTGAGCCTGGTTTTGTGTACACTGCTGCCTGGGCTTTGGTCTGGAATTGTGTGTATTTGTATGACGTGCTTAGAGTCAATCTTGATGATCCACACACGGAGACATTGTGGAAGGAATCATCAGAATGAGAAGGCACTTGGCGTTTACAGAGGCACTAAGTACAGGGGGCACGGTACTAGGATGGCAGGAACAAGATCATGGAAAACAGTAGGCAACCCCCAAATAATGTATTTGTAGTTTTTATGGGTTTTTTTTGGGGGGGGAGGGGGTGGTGACTGCAAATGATTTGCTTTTCAAATTATGTGTTTCTCAGGTTAACAATAACGTTATTTTGGATCCTCTGCTGTGCCAGCAGGTGTGAGAGGACCCTTAAGTGTTGTATATGGCAGAAAATGGGTAATTGTCTCTGATTACTTTGCTCCCTTTAAAATATGTATGTTTGCAAAACAGTCTAGGGGAGTCTACCACCTACACAGTATGAGTTATTCATAAATCATAGGTGCACATGTATGAGCAAGTTAGTTGTTTTTGAGAAAGAAACTACCTGTAATGTAATCACTCTGACTGGTCTTTGGCTATTTTAAAATTTGTGTGTTGTCGTCCTTATTGTTAATATTGACCCTGGACTGCAGCTTGGGGAATATTGGGCTCTGCCTCTGGTTTTTAGTTTGGCTTCGAACTTGCTGAGAAACTGGAGAAAAAAAATTTAAAAAGAATATATTTGTAAGGTAATAGGATATAGAATGACCTAGACATACAAGTAAACATGGCGACCGTTCTAGAATGCACTGCTGTGGAATTCTTAAAGCGCAGTACTCCCTACTTGAAAAGCTTTGGTGGGATTGTTTAAATGTTGAGCAGAGGTTCCTTTATCCAGTTCCAGCTTCCAGGGACCTTCAGTTTCTTTACATTTTGCTTTGCATGATGCCTTGTGTGAGACCTCTTTATCTTTCAATAGGTCAGAGGGTTCTTTGTCCAGGGTACCGTCCCAATGTGTCAGTTACACCTGAGAATGTTCTCAGCCCCTCCCACAGAGAGGATTTTCCTATATCCAGACCATGCCTGCTTTCTATAAATCCATGTATATGACATTGTACTGTATCCGCTTTCTGTGCCAGTCATCCAACTTGATTCTTTGAAACCCATGAAGGTACTGGTTATACCTTAGTAGTAGTGGTATCCTCGGTAAATCTGGTGATTAAAATACCTCTCTTTAAATTATAAACTTAATGGGTTTTGCATTTCATTAGGGGTCCTGTGATTAGTGATGCAGGGATTGTTTTGTTTTTTTGTAATGCTTCAAAAATGTAGTTCTTCCCTAAACTTGTTCAGCTAACTTTGTATGATTAGTTTGTTAACAGATTCATACTGGGTCTTGCTTTGAAAAGTCTAAGGGAGGCTAGCTGTATAGAACCGAGGCAGCCAGTTTCCGTCTCTCACATGAAAAGTACCAGTTGTGCAGCCATCTAATTAAGCTTAATTTATGGCAAAATTATCACAAAATTATTTTTTTCTTTGTGGTTAATGATACCTCATCTGTGAGGTCCTAATATCTAAAGAATTTATTCTTGAAAATGTAAGTGACTTTGTACCATAAAATGACCCCAAAGCCACTCCCTAGGGTTTTGGGGGATTTTTCTTTTCTTTTTTTCTAAACTTAGTTTTTCAATTCTTTTAGCCACTTTGGTTTCAATTTGGGGTCTACAGTTCGTACAGTGTGATCATTGTCTCAGTGAAGTTCTTTTGTTTGAAAAGATTCATGGTAACACAAAATGTATTTTACTGCTACAACTAAAATGTATTTATAATAAAATGCCTTTTTAATAATTTGGAGATGTGTTTATTATGTGTAAGCCACAGCTTTCTGCTTCCTTTTAGGATCAAAGATTTTGACAGAAGTTGAGCACAGCACTTTGATTTTAGTCATAATATTAATAGGTACTAGGCAACAACCAGCTGATGTCACTGAGAACTCACCATTGGTTTATAAAGTTGTAACTCCAGTTTCCGTAAATGAGGGACTGACTTACTTCAGCAGTAGCAAAGGCTTAAACGCTTTTAAAGTGTTACCTGAAAGTTCCAAGATCATCAGTGCTCAGTGAGAAAGTGAGCCCTTTTCAAATTGTCATCCAACATGGATCTTAGGAATTAAAAAGAAAATTACCAGGAATTACTCTTAACAAGTCACTTACTTAATGCTGGGCTTGTATGGCCCAGAATTTATTCCAGAAGTCATAAACCCTCGTGTAGATCAGTATATTATGTGAGTGTAACAAAGCACTTTACAGTGGTAGTGACAAGCGTTAATTCAACTATCCAAAAAAAAAAAAGGCTGACCGTGCACAAAATTGCCCTGAGCCAGGGTCTTGTTTTTGTTGGGAAAGTAATGCTTTGCATCTGCCATGATGTGCTTTTGAAAAGCAGTAGCAGGTCACAGAATGCTTTGTGTGCCCTAACTTTTTATTTTTAACAGCCCATTAATGTGGCATCATAAATCTAGCTTGAGTACATGCCATGCTTAAAGTTTAGAAATGTGAGTAGATAGGACAGTCAGCCTTTCGCAAGGACAATTTATAATTCTTAGTGCAGTGAATCAGTTTTTGAACTAGATAGCTTGTTTTCTTTGAGTTGAATTGATAGGACACAAATCTCTGAATTTTGGAAAGAGAAGCACTTCTTTACATATAAATCAAATGGACTTGAAGGGCCCCTTGGACTGCTGTCTGCGCCAGATGAAGTAACCCAAGGCTCCATCATCAGTAGGAAAGTTTACAAATATGATTCTCCCAGGTGTTAACTCCTAGACCATATTGGTGTCCTCTGAAACATTTTTCTGAGAATATATTAGTGAAAATGTTGGTGGAAACTCAGGTGTGGAGCACAGGCAAGCATGAAGAGGGAAAGCTTGTTCAGTGGAGGGAGCACTGGGTGGAGGCTTGCTTGCATTTAACCTGGTTAAACTGGAGCATCCAAACACCCTCTTGGGTGGTTGTAAGCTGTCAGGGAGTCCTTGGTTTGAATTGACTTTGCAGCTTAACTTACATAGTACTGTCCAAACAAGTCGATTCTCTCATGGAGGGGGATCTTAAGATTTGAAGAACCCTGTATTGATTGCATTGCCTCTTTTCCAGTTCATCCTACCAACTGTAGCCAGAGGTACCTTTCTGAAACAGATCTGATCATGCCACTCTTTCTGAAAAGCCACCAGTGATTCCCTGTCACATCTTGCATTTCTTAGCTGACTTTTGAGGCACCCTCAAGTATTGTTCCTGAGCACCTTGCACGCTTGGCTACTTCAAACCTCTAACCATTCATTCCCTGACCGCCTCGTGACTTCATTTGGGCCATGTCCTCCAGCCCTCATACCCCCAGTCTTCAGGTCTACTTTGGGGAGCTCTGCATAGTGTTTAGGAGTCTCTGGGTGGCACAGATGGTTAAGTGTTTGACTACTAACTGAAAGGTTGGAGGTTTGAACCCACCCAGAGACGCCTAGGTAGAAAGGCCTAGCAATCTTCTTCTGAAAGATGCAGTTCTACGCTGAGACACATGGGGTCCCCATGAGTAGGGACGAGTTGGGATGGACTTGACAGCAACTAGGGTCTTAAATACCAAGTAGCTTAAATAATACCAAGTAAGCTACTTGGTATTTAAGACCCTATGTAAATTCTACGTCTTATATTCCCCTGTTGGAATTAACCCCTTTTTCTCTGAGCCTGCAATTAAACCTTGTATCTCCATTTTTAAGGAACCCTGGTGGCTCAGTGGTTAACTTGGCTGCTAATCAAAAGGTTGGCAGTTTGAATCCACCAGCCCCTCCTTGGAAACCCTATGGGACAGTTCCGCTCTGTCCTGTAGGATAGCTACAAGTCAGAACCGACTCAAATGCAATGGGTTTGGTTTTGGTTTTTGAGTGGCGCAGTGGCTAAGCACTGAGCTGCTAACCGAAAGATGATTCTAACCTACTAGCTGCTCTGTGGGGGAAAGATGTGGCAGTATGCTTCCATAAAGATTACAGCTTGGAAACCCTATGGGGCAGTTCTACTCTGTTGGGTTGCTATGAGTCAGAATCGACTCGACAGCAATGGATTTTGATTTTTGTTTTACCTCCACTATTACAGTTTTTATGGTGTAGTTACGAGTTTGTGAGCTTCCAGTGGCAGAGATCTGAGCTCAGTCTTCTAACCCAATAGCACCACACAATGCCTTTTACATAGTTGGCCCTTGACGAATGCTGGACTGAATTACAGGATTTGATTGAGAGAATTTACAGGACGGTCCCACTGACATCCTTTGCCAATGCAGTGTGGCCCGATGACACTTGGCTGGAGAGCTGGCCGGGGGTGAAGGAGGAGTAAGCTGTCCCATGCAGTGACGTCCCCGCCCACTCCACAGGGCTCTCAAAACAACTTGACTTCAGAGGATTTTGTGTGTTAACCAGGTATCACTGTTAGAAGCCTTGGCTTGGCAGCCTCACCATGGTTACGTCAGTTTTGATTGATGCTGCCTACTTTCGTATATCCTGGTCTGTAGGCATATGCCTACCTACCACGCAGAGGCTGGGAGATTGGTGAAATTCCTCTTTGTCTGAAGCTCTGCTTGATTTTAAATCCGCAGAGGGAGATAATTAAATTGAATAGAAGCTGCAGCTTGCAAAATCTATGGTATTATCCCACTCTTAGTTCATTAAAACTGATGCTTTGCAAATTGATTTGAAACATTGTTTCAGGAAACTGTGCTGCCAATAATCTGAGAAAAAAGTGGCTATGGTTAGTGGTGGGCTCTGGAATGTAGGTGTGGCCGGCTGCCTGCAGGGCCTCTCCTTGCCTCCTTCCCCCCACTGCTTGGCTCCCACCCTGGGCTACGCCCAAAGGGAACCAGTGGAGAATGGGGTTTGGATGCTCTTTGCTACTAATTGAAGGGAAATGTGATCTGAGGCATCTGATGACAAGCCCTCTTGTGTGGGTGGAGTGCCTGGAAGTGCCAGGTACCTTCCAAAGGAAACTGGGAAATGTCCTAATTAGTCTTTTGGATTTTGCTTCCTTTATTTACAAAAGACACCAACCAACCAACCAGTTGCCATCGAGTCAATTCCAACTCATGGTGACCGCATGTGTGCAGAATAGAACTGCTTCATAGGGTTTTCAAGGCTGTGACCTTTCTTCTGAGGCACCTCTGGGTGGGTTTGAACTGCCAACCATTTGGTTAGTAATACAACGCTTAACCATTTGCACCACCCAGCCACTCCACAGAAGACACAGGGTGCCTAACAAGAAGGGCCTGAAATCACCAGAGTAGGTGGCCTTATCTTTGCACCTGGCCCTCAAACCTGGTCGTTAGTTCTTTTGTCTGTTTGGAATTCAGACATGAACATGATTTTACAAAGCTAGCCAGAAGTGGCCCCTGTTCTATGGGAAAATCTGGCGGATTCAACCTTCTGAGCTTTGGGACCAGGTTTAAGGCAAGTATCATAACCAGTGCCAGAAGTTAACAGGAAGCTATCGGAAGGTAGGTAAGCAAATAAGCTTTATCTTGATAAATTAAATCTCCTTCTCGGGATGACCCCATAGGTCTGCTAGGACCAAAATAGTTCCTGTTCCCTAAACAGGCGGGAAGACAAACTGTTTTTAAAAGTTTTTGATCTAGTGTAATTAAAGTTGGTGTTGAACCTTCCGGCAGCACACTTCTGGAAATCTGTCTGCTCTTAAAGGCTGTCAGCCGATGTGTTCCAGCTCGGAAAATTGTCTCATCTGGGACCCACGCAGTTGCGCGCTCGGCTTTGGAGAAGACAGCTGGCTCGGCCTGATTGTCTGACTCAGGCCCTGCACGCAGACTTGCCGCTGTGCCTGCAGACACCCGGGGCCAGGGAGCCAGCTCGCCTAGGAGCCCTTCCTCGCTTCTTTTTTGCTGCTAGAGGCAGTTGCTTGTGTCTTTCTGAGTCTTCTTGGTAGAGTTGTGGCATCCTTCCCCTGCTGCCCATTCTCTCACAGCCACAGCTTTCTAGCCATGCACTTATTCAAGGTAATAGCGCATCCTCAGGGCATTGTGCCCTGTCTACTGTTTGGCTCTTGTTGTTAGGTGCTGTTGAGTTGGTTCCAACTCATAACAACACTAGGTACAACAGAACAAAACACTACGCAGTCCTGCGCCATCCTCATGATCGTTGTTATGTTTGAGCCCATTGTCACTGCCACTGTGTCAGTCCATCTCGTTGAGGGTCTACTTCTTTTACACTGATCTTCTACTTTACCAAGCATGATGTCCTTCTCCAGGGACCGGTTCCTCCTGTTCAGAGGATTTGGTAAAAAGATTGGCGGCAAGGAAGGTTCTAGCTGATGGCATAATTATGGAGAAAATATAAGTCTACCTGCTGTCTTAGTTATCTAGTGATGCTATCACAGAAATATCACAAGTGGATGGCTTTAACAAAGAGAAATTTATTCTCTCACAGTGTAGGAGGCTAGAAGTCTGAATTCAGGGTGGCAGATCCAGGGAAAGGCTTTCTCTGTCGGCTTTGGGGAAAGGTCCTTGTTATCAGTCTTCCCCTGGTCTAGGAGCTTCTCAGCTCAGGGACCCCAGATTCAAAGGACTTGCTTGCTCCCAGCTCTTCCTTCTTGGTGGTAGGAGGTCCCTCTGTCTCTCTGCTCGTTTCTCTTTTTTATATCTCAAAAGAGATTGACTCAAGACACAATCTAATCTTGTAGGTTGAATCCTGCCTCATTAACATAACTGCCTCTAATCCTGCCTCATTAACATCATAGAGGTAGGATTCACAACACATGGGAAAAATCACATCAGATGACAAAATGGTGGACAATCACAAAATACTGGGAATCATGGCCTAGCCAAGTTGACACACAATATGGGGGACACAGTTCAATCCATAACATCTGCAAAGAGCTTATAACCCAGCAAGGCATAAGGCACAATTCACTATAACAGAAGCAGGTAAGTGCTAGGAATATGAGCAGAGCATCATGGGGACAAAAAGGAGGCAAGCATGAAATTTGCACTGAGGAGCTGTCACTGTGTGATGTCTCAGCTGCACCCTGCAGAATAAGTAGGGTTTCAGCAGCTTCAGGCCATGTGCCCTTTCTCTATCCCCAAGAAACCTTCCCAAACCTCACAGGACTTGCACTTTATTTTAAAATTATCTGCCATTAAACTCCAAGTCCCTGAAGGAAAGGATCATAACTGTTCTGATTCTTTGCTCAGCCACTTACTAGCTGTGTGACCTTGAGCAAGATAATCTTTCTGAGTGTCAGTTTCTTTATCTGTAAAATGGGAATAATAATAGTAGCTACCGCAGGACTGTTGTGAGGCTGAAGAGAAAAAACATACATCAAGCACTTAACCCACTGCCTGGCACGGGTTAAATGCCATTATTATTACTAGTAAGGAGCCCTGGTGGTGCAACGGTTAAGTCCTCGGCTGCTAACCGAAAGGTCGGTAGTTCAAACCCACCAGTGGCTTTGCTGGAGAGAAGACCTGATGGTGATCTGCTCCAGTAAGATCACAGCCTTGGAAGCTCTATAGGACAGTTCTACTCTGTCCTATAGGGTCACTATGAGTGGAATCCACTCAACAGCATACAACAATTATTACTATAATCATGTGCCACATAACATCCATTTGGGCAATGTCCAACTGTATATATGTCATGCGGTCCCATAAGTTCAGAAATCCTGATAGAAGAATGGGACCTAGAGGATGTAACCAGATGTAACCAGGAGGGAGCCGCCACCTTTACGCCTCAAACCAGCTCGTGCTTGGGAAGGCTACCCTGGGCTTGCCCATGCCCCTAGACCTTATCCTCAGCCTGCTGGACCTGCAGCACTGTCTGGGCCTCCAAAGGGCCTAATGCTGTGCTGAGTGCCCCAGG